ATCAAATAGCAGAGAATGGGAGCAGCTGTTTTTGTGGTTTTTAAAGTGTTAAAAAGATAAGGATAACAATTATCAACAATTCGTCTGATGAAGTGAAACAATGCCAAAAATGTAATACAGATTTTGAACACACTTTCTGTCATCTTTGTCATAAAGACTTATGCAGCCAATTATGTCGGCATTTTGCAAAATGGATAAACCCGTATTATTTTCCGTTTCTTATTCATGTTAATACGGCCACATTACACATAAACACGAAAATCAGACCATAAGATGCGGTAAAATTGGGCGATGTAGATATCTTCTACTACAGATATCTTATGAAGACAAAATATTTGAATGGATGATATAATAGAAATATAATCCCGGAAATAGGATCGTTCAAGAAAAAAAAATGAAGATTTTGCAGGCTTGGTTTATTTGAGCCTATTCAGAATGTGCAAGCTACCGTCCACGCCCGTATGATCGGCTTAAGCAGAATTCAACTCATGAATTGGTAACGTTTTTAAAATCCGAATATGCTACAGTCCAGACATGTCTTTACGGCAAATAGGCAACAAAATTAAATGAAAACAAATATTTGTTTCGTCGGCAAAAATATTCAACCTGACAAACAATACAAACATGTAAATTAACAAACTACACTGACATATTCCGGCAAGTAGGATTTATATTAAATTTTATCCTTAAAAGTTAATTTATTAAATGATATCTTTTCATATTTGGTAGGTGGATGCCTTCAATGGTCCTTCATTTTTTGTGGAGTTTGTGGGTCTCTTCGGTAAAGGCCACTGGTGTGAAAATTAAATTTAAATAGTTTTGCTCACACAGTCTTTATTTTTAAGTTGATGTCTTTCATGTTTAATACAAACATGCCTAGGTAGGTCCTCTACCTTTGGGTTTAGATAGGAATCATTTGGGTCAAGGTCACCAATGTCAAAAAGATGTTTACATTATTTCAACCTTGTTCAATTGACATTTGTCTTTTAGATTTTGAAGGAAAATTAAATTGAGGTCTTCTGTTATGGATGGATTTAGATGCCAGTCAAGGTCGCAAGTACTTAAAATAGATTTTAACACTTTTGCTCATACAGTCTTTATTTATTTACAGATGTACATGTTGTATTTCATAATTGGAAGGAAGATAATTTGCATGATATTCCTCCTTTTGATTGAGGTAATATCAGCGGGTCAAGGTCACCAGTGCTTATAATATATTTTGACTGATTTGTTTGTATTTGGTTGGATGTTTCTCGTGTGGTGTTCTTCCTGGTGCTTGAGTTTGGGGTCAGTTGGGTCAAGGTTAAGGGTGCAAATAATAGATTTCTACATAAATTATTTGTTAAAACAGCATTATTATTTTACTGATGTATTTTTATATTTGAAAAGATCATAACTTGCATCCTTTGGATTGAGTTAGGGCTCATTTAGATCAAGGTCAAAAGTGCTAATAATGATTTTTACTCTTTTGCACATACATCTTTTCTTTATGTAATGATGTCTTTTATATTTGGTAGGAAGATATCTTGCACGGTCTTCTTCCTTTGGATTTAGTTAGGGGTCAGTGGATCAACCTTTTTACACTTGCAGTATTACTTGGCTTATTAGGGTGAACTTGTCTGTCTGTCGTCTGTTAACACTTTAATGTCTCTTTAACATCTTTCCAGAACTATGAATAAAACTGTTCAGATTTACTTTGGTCAAATTTCAGCTCATTAAGATAACAGACAGATATCCAACTTTAAGGTCAAGATCACAACTCAAGATAAATTGTTTAAACCAGAAATATCTGCTTTATATCTTTTGAACTGCTTATGAAATATTGATCATATGTTTAACTCATATGCAGCAATGCATAACTCAATTGTCAGACACCCCAGTTAATGGTCAATGTCACAATTACGGATGAAAGGTTTGACACATCAACCTTGTTTCTACAAGACAGTGTCAAGGCTCATTGAAGTTACACAATTTTTGATGAATAATTTCCCGTCTTTTTCACAAACCGTCCTTAATGTCAAATAATATTTCTATTTTTTTGCTGTGTGCATAAGGGTCATTTGGTTATGTCTGTGAGCTGAAAAGTGATGTCACATGAGTGATGTCACCATGTGACATTACATATAGTTACCCTCTGATGTCACATAATGTTATATAGATAATACTGGATCCGATGAAAACAATACTGAGACAGTTTATTTATTTCCGGGCGCCCAGTTAAGGTGTAACCCGTCATTGGCATGATAGGAATCGATGACCATCCTTCTATAAGCCTAATAATGACACTTGTATACATGAATATTTGAATCTGACACAATAACATTTATGAAATAAAGTTATTTTTCATGTTTTCAAAGACTTCTTTTAAGCTGAAACTGCGTTTAGACAAATTATTGATAAATATTTTTTAAGCAAATGTCAATAAAATTGAAACTCTTTACACATGAAATACAGTTTATTGTTGTTATTCTTCCCAGCAAAAAAATGATTGCATAATGCGATTTAAAGAGTACAGATAATGTGATAAATATCAGAATTCGCAAAGGTATCTTTTACTTGTCTGAAAAATGATAAGTGACAAGATTGAAAAGCGAATTAACTCTTTATAAATCAATTTTAGAATTTTAATTGAGTTGCGTCCTTTATATTAAGATAATATTCATACACTCAAATATTTAAAAAAAATTGTCACCGTATCGTCTTTATTTCTACATTTGTATTCGAATTGGTATTTTCTATCATTAAACAATTTTCTTAAAAAAATAGGTGTTGATTGATGTGAATAATTGTGATTACAATTGTTACGATGTTTTCAAATTGCCCATTTGGTTTCAGAATTATAACAGAATTGATCAACTTATAATTAATATCTTGTTTAAAAGACATCCAAAAATGCAGTAGATCGGACATTAGAAATACCAGTGTCTAAGATTTTAGCGGACTTAAGGTTTTAATTTTCAAATGTTCTAACCTTACTTCCAAAATTTCATTCCCAGAAAAGATGTTACAAGGTTTCTCTCTGAGATTAATATATACAACATTTACCGTCAGATAAATTCATAAGAGACATCTTATGTTCTGTATAAATAGCATTGTCTGATATTGTACTGCTTTGCATGAAGAAAAGGAATCATAAATTTGGCACCATATTTACAATATTGTAACAAATAAATTGAAATTTAATTGTTTCATGCGAAAATTAATTTCAGAGTTACAAAGAAGAAATATATCTTTTACATCGGATAGAGACTTTGGCTTAAACTTTGCTTTAAACCGACACAAATTTTCGAGGTCGAATTTGTAAAATGACTTATGTTTAATTTGAAAGGTAAATTTTCTAAAGACAGAAAATAATAATTTCTGTCTTCCCCATTAGTATGATATTTTGTTAAAAAATTATTTTCCTATTGCGTTCCACGTCTTTATTTCAGAGTGTATAATTTTGTATATTGTTTTAACATCCAGACTGGCTTAGATATTAGAAATATTGCGAAAGTTAAGATCTTCGTCTTTCAGGTCACGGATAATTGTTTTTTTAAACTAACGGTAGCTTAAGGTCCTAAAGAAAATCGCTCATAATTTTTTCGAATTCTTTTCTGTATTTTGTCGGTAAACCGCGCGTTAAGTATTTAATAATTCTTGAAATGAAGACTCATTCTCACAAAAAATTGTGTATCGTCAACAAATTGACTTACTTTAAATTCAAGCTCATGGCCATTTAACGAAGGCAATTTAATGCCGCGTTTATTAATATTATTTTCTTATTGCACAAGCTATTGGATATTGAGACACGGCGCTATGAGACAACCATGTTTAATAGAGCGAGAAATTTGAAAATATTCAAAAATAAACCCGTTTGTTTGTATAGGCCCTTTTCGAGCCGACTAAAAACATTTGAACCCATTTCCTGAAGTTGTCTTCTATACCAATATTTAAACAGATTTCTAGCCATTCCCAATCTACCCTTTCAAAAGACTTAGTTTGAGCTAAAAAAATATATTTTCTTTCCTAGATCAGTGTAATATATTATGTCGTGAATAAGCCTGTTTGCCTTTGAAATTTGTCTACCCCTAATAAAACCTTTTTGATCTAAATGAAACAACTTTGATAATAATGGTTTCAGTATTTATGCTAAACATTTCGAAATGGTTTTATAACCGGCATTTAGAAGTGTAAGTAGACGCCCATTTTTTAGATTAGATCTATCCCCGTTTTTATAAAGCAATGATAAAACACCCTTATATTGTGAATTTGATAAATTGTTAGGATCAATTATTTCTAAGATCTCTTCAAGAAAGTCGTTTATTGTTAAGTACCGTAATTTTTGATAAAATTCACCAGGCAGGCCTTTCTCACCGGGGGATTTTGTGAATTTAAAACCGTAACAACGTTTTTCAACTTCTTCCTCCCGAAAATCTGAATCAATGGGTAACTTTGTCATCAATTTTTACACTAGTAGTAATATTAGAAACCAAAATTTCTGCCAACATAGAACAATTCCTTTGGAAGAAAATAGTTTCTGGTAAAATGCACATTGTTCTTTTAAAATTGAATTTATGTCTCTTTAATGAGACCAGCTTAAACAATAAGGGGATGGGGTACCCTTTGAAAAATTATCCTCAAATTTGGCTCAAACGTCCAAAGTTAAGGTTGCCTTGAAGGTCGAATGTTAAAACAATTTCGTGTGTGTTCTATAAATTCTATAATCCTTGAAGGACTTAATGAAACTTAACTTGAATATTCACATTAAAATATAGGCTTAATATACTGACATTAAATCTTGTGCCATGCATAAAGCCGGTAAGGTAATGATACATCACTCATGTGACGGCTCTGAGAAACTTTTGTAGTTTACTATGAAAGTAAATGCTACTTGTCAGTATGGACAAAGGCACCCTTAAATGTACAAGGAAAAAGAAACAAAAACATAAAACTTGTTTACTTAAATGTTTTATAAGATTATTTCTATATACAACAAAACATAAAGTCTAAACTTGCCATAGTTATTGTTTTATTAATCTTTATCGTGCTGAATATCTCAAATAGACATGTCCAGTTTTCAGTCTAGCCAAATAAATAATTATTTTAGAGACATTGTAAAATAAAGACTGAATGAATAGCAACCAGTGCAGACCATGATCAGATGACACAGCACAACTGACTGGCTGATCTTGGTCTGCACTTGTTGCATGGATATAATTAGTTGGAACCAACAGGCTATTAAGGTTTAAAAAAACATTATGGACTCTAAAAAATTATGCTATATACATGTATGTTATGATGAAATAGAAATAAGTGTTTTAAAGAAGAAAATTGTGAATAAGAAAAGAAATGTCATCAAAATTGATGTTAAATGTAAAGTTTTAGAAAATACCTGTTTGTTGATTTTTTAAATTAAAATGTATAAGTATTTCAGTATCATTTTTATATCAGAAAACATGTTCAGCCTAAAAATACATATGCATGAGAAGTATGACATGTAAGAACTGTTTTATAGAAAATATTTTATGTATTAATATTATAAACACATCAAGGTCTGGCTAAAGCAACTTAGTCAAAAATGATTTTGGTGAAACTTTTAAAAATGCTTAATGTTATGTCAAATGAACAAATAAGGCGATTGAAGTCACAATACTTAAATTTATTTTAGAAATATGCTTTAATGTAATTAAATTTAGCATTATGTGGCATAAAATGTACAAAGCATCCAGGGTTTGTATAAATTATGTATATGATATGGATACATTTACAAGGCATGCAGAGGGGAAAACTTTTATATCATACTGTCCCATATTTTCTTATCACCAATTTTCTTCTTTGTAACAAACTATTCAAGGGATTGACCAGTAAAAGATACACGGTGATTATTGGCAGTGCATAGTGAAAAAATATAGATCTTACTGCAATCCCATTTTGATTTTCTCTCTTTTTTTTCTTTTCCTTTTTTGCAAATTTGCTACATTTCCTTGTATTGATATAACATCTTCTTTATTTTTGTTACAATTTACTGCTGTGTATCAACATGTCAATAAAAATATAATTTATGTTATATCCACATAAAATTCTAAAACATTGATCAATGAAGCATATCTGCAACTTTACATTTTGTGTTAAATGATGAAAATTGAAGAATAAAATCATTTTGTCTGGAAAGGTGCAAAACTGATATATTATGTCTACATTTATAAGTTTTCTGTATTTTAAGCACTTTATTGTCAAACATCTGTTTGTATTTTACTATAAATGTTACATATACATCTCCTTTATTTTACATCTATTCCTCCATAAATCAACAAAACTAAAGTTAAATGTGTTATCATAATGTTACAATAATGTCTATAATAAAGTATTGAATGAATGGCGATTATATAATGTACTTAAACCATTGTTAGTATCATGTCATATATGTCATGTCTTTTACATCATTTTATACAATTTAATATAATTGTCATCACTGTCATCATTAAGTCTACTAACACAAAATGTACTAGTTTCTGCACACCAACATGCGGCATAAGGTCTATCTGCATCCTCCAGTATAGTTTTACTGTCTTTACAGTCACCACTTACTCTATATATACAATCACTTGAGCAACCATTCACTAAGAGAGACCCATCATGTAACAGTGTTATACCCATTGGTTCTTTAATTACTACTAATCCTATCATCTCTCCCTGCCAGTTGAATCGTAGAACTACATTGTTGCGACAGTCAGATACATAGATTGAATGACTGTTTGTTGTGACAAACTCAGGAGAACTGAATATATTGTAACCTTTGGAATCTTTTTCAACTGTAATTTCAATAATACCTTTCAAGTCCATGATTTGGAGTTTAGCGGGATATGTAACTGCAAGTTTTCCCTGATGATGACTGATACCATAACAGTATGCATCTACTTCCAGTTTGTTCTTCAGTGAGAGTGAATCTTGGGAAAAGGAAATAAACTGTATGGTTTTACTGTCTGGTAATGTAACAGCAAGTGAATCTGTGGTGACCATGGTGATATCCCAAGGTGATGATTTAAGTTTTAATTGTTTGATTGTTCCACTATTGATGTCTATCATTTTGATAGATTGATTATAATAGCAATCTGCTGCAAATAATTGATTTAAAGGAGAAACAGCGATACCAGTTATGTTACAATCCATTTCATCTGAGGATAATTTAGCATTAAGGCGTCTAGGGGTCGTAGACATTTTCATTTCTACTGCACCTTGTTTGTTTGGTTCAGTTGTCTGCTTAAGCTCCTTACAACACAATTTTCCTAACGATTTCTCATTTTGAAAGACTTGTTTGATAGCTTGATTTGGTTCAAAGATGTAATCATCAATGTCATTGATTGTTGGTAGTTGTGATATTATCTTGTTATTATCTTGAATCAGTTGCTGAGCTCTCTTAAGTTCAGCAAACAGTTGGTCAGTTTTCTTGTTTACATTGAAATGTTTCAGAGTATCAGCTGATGCTTGAAGTGATTTGTTGATGTCATCACATGCTGCTTCTGTTGTTTTCAACTTTTTGTTATTGTCTTGTTGGATTGTTGTAGCAGTATCTTTAACCTCTTTTTCTAATTCGTCTAATCTCTTGTTTATCTCTTTTCTGAAATTTTCAAATTCTGCTAAAGCATACTTAAGAGCAGTTGTTGATGTACCAACTCTTTGTTTCATGTCACTTGTTATTTGGGAGTATTTGTATGTCAATATGTCAATATCTTTCAGAGTTTCCCTGAACTCGGTGCTGTCTATAACCTGTCCTGATATATCCGGTATATAGTCAACATGACAGGATGTTGGTGTGTGTTCAATGGTTACACAAACACTACATATAACAGCATTATGGTCATGACAGTAGAATTTAATCACTTCTTTGGTGTGTTTATTACAAGGCTTTGTAAAATCACCAGTCTGTAGACTGGAAGTAGATTTCGATGATCTTTGGAATTTTTGTTTGTGTGGCATGTGATCTTTATCTAAGAGTTGGTGATGACGAAGTGGTTTTGGTCGTCTGTGAGTGTTGAAACACGATTGACATAAGTGTTCCTCACAATCTACACAGTAACCAAAGGCAGGAAGTCTGATATCATCTCTATCACATATTTCACAATAAATGTCAAAATCTTCAGCACCACCTTGAGATAGTGTAGATGAGAATTTTTGAGATGCCTTTTTACCAGGAACAGCCATTATTTACCTGGAATACAAAAAATTAATATGCTGTTAATTAGCCTAGAATGTTTCCGTCATATATTTGTGTTGGTCCATTTTAATGTAGTAGATATCAAAAATCATTTTTGTTCAGTATAGTTCAGTTACAATGTTCAATAAATAATTCATTGCGTTCACATTGAAAGGTATGGTTAATTTCCATAAATTACTAATAAAAGCTAACTTTAATAATCTGATTGACAAAATGTTTTGTTTCATATATGGAACTGAGTATCATTCCGATATAGAATTTTCTACAATTTCTGTTTGAACTCACTTTTGAATGATTAATTGGTGCTAATTTACTGAAATAGAGAAAACCAGAATCCCTAAAGAAAGCCCAACACGGCAAAATTGAAAATGTTGCAGGCTCGGTTTGATTGAGCCTGTTCATGGACGGTACTGTTGAGTACAAATTACCGTCTACGCCCCCTAGCACCGGCTTAAGCAGAATCAACATTTAAACACGAAAATGGCGAAATTTTGACTTTAGAAACTTCCGCATATGTGTTCATATGGCGGTTATCATGGAACCTTCAATGTGACACAGTAGTGCCATTCTATGAAAAGCGGCGTATGGTCTCCAATTAAAAAAATGCGTGTGCCCTAAACGAGAAAACAATGGGCGGAACTAAATAAAATGGGATTTTGAAAGGGGATCTGAGGTTATGAAGCCTGCATATCACAGATAAGACGTCAAAAGACAATTTAAAAAGCAGGCAACATATCCTAAGGGTGATTATACAGTATTCAAGTAGGAATACTGGAACCACCCAAGTTGAAAAAGACCAAATAAAAGAAACTAAAAACACCACATAACATGCATACACAACAATTATGTCGTGCTGAACGATCTTCAAGAATCGAAAATATAACATCTTTGATTAAATGTACGGGGAGACTTTTTAAGGCCGCCACATGGCACAAATAACACTGATGTGACCATAAAATAGAGAAAACCAGAATCCCTAAAGAAAGCCCAACACGGCAAAATTAAAAATGTTGCAGGCTCGGTTTGATTGAGCCTGTTCATGGACGGTACTGTCAAGTGCAAATTACCGTCCACGCCCCCTAGCACCGGCTTAAGCAGAATTCAACATTTAAACACGAAAATGGCGAAATTTTGAATTTAGAAACATCCGCAGATGTGTTCATACGGCGGTTATCATGGAACCTTCAATGTGACACAGTAATGCCATTCCATGAAAAGCGGCGTATGGTCCCCAATTAAAAAAATGCGTGTGCCCTAAACGAGAAAACAATGAACCTACTGAACCTACATTTGGCCTGTTATGGCCATGATTATATTTTTGTCTCATATGGAGTACCTCTGATCAAGAACCGTAACTTTATTTGGTTTATACACCCATATAAAGAGTTTGAGAGGGGTTATTATTATAGGATTGAGATTGTCTGAAAACCGACAAAAGCCCTCCATACAAATGCCTCCCCCTATGCAAAAGTTAAAGAGCAAACAAAAATCCTTCTGTGAAGATAACAGAGCAAGCAAAAGACTTTCTCTGAATATTGATTACTGGGTGGTATGAATTAATTTTGGATCATTACTTAGAAACTGGGAACATAACTGAAGTTTGCTTTGGTAACAAACAAAGTTCTGAATTATTTTCGTGTCATATCACAATCAATGCATTATTTATTTTTCCTTTCCAGTGCAACAGATTTACTGTGAACCGGAATTTGATTATCACTGTTAAAACAATTCATCCGGGAATAACGAATAAACAATTTAGTGTTGTTAAACTCTGATAAGCCTTACCGTACTATAAAAAAGTTTTAAAGAAATTAAGTTTACTTCGAAGATAGCGTGGAATGGCGCTGGAATTGTCTTGTTCCGATTGTATCACAAGATTTACAGAAATAAAGAGTTATCTTTCAAAAATACACAAATGCCCACTTGCAATAAGGATAAAATGCCTAAAAATAAAATATTAGTTTTAGTCTGCAGATATTTTTTTTCAAAGTGAGGCTTTCTTAACGTTGCCTTTGAATTGTTGATCTTTATTCTCATTTTTCATTCTAGAATTATCTATGTACATAATTATACATTGCATAACTTTTCACAGTAGGGGTATTTTCAGACAGAAGGCCGAGCTATTGTCCGCGAGTGCTTTGTCTTAAACTCGAGATTGTTTATTAGTTTGTCAGTCCGTGTATGGGTTTCCGGATAATAACTGTAGTTATGAATGAGATACCGAAATCGAACTTAGTATAAAGCAACCTTATGTAAAGAACTGGATTGTGATTGTTTCTTGACCAAAGGGTCAAAGTCACAAATTAATAAAATGAAATATACAGCTTAACTTCTGAAACTGACAGCATGTGGGATTAGCCAAAATATCAAATTTTGGAAGATTCCGGAATTAAAAGGTACTAGATTATTTGAACAAGAAGAAACATCAAACATCAGCATGATAACAACATATATGACACTGATAAAATTTATAAAATGGCATAATATGAGGAAATTTAAAAATCTATTATCACCAATATCTGATTGTTGATACAATAGTATAATGTTAATGATCATAATTTATCCTGAAGCATAATATTTACCGGCTATTAATTTGTTTCGTTTTTTCTTCACAATATACTTCTTAGTTTCTTTATTTTCACATTCTTATCAAGTTGACAGGTTTCAATTGCAATATTTGTCATGATAAATAGTCACTGCTAACTGGAAGATACATTGACTTAAATATTAGAATTGTAAGTTTCGCAATGTTACTTTATCTCCACAACTAATGAAGATATTCACTAGACTGTTCTGACAATGACTCTTCCCACAAATTGTCATCTATTGATTAACCAACATTTTTGTTTTAAAACTGTGAGAAATCTGAAAACGAGAGGTCGTGCAATGTTTATTTGCATATATTTATTCTATGTTTGAAAGCGGATCAAGAAAATTCTGTCTATGACTTGCAAAGAGTAAAACAACAATTTATCTGATATGCTCTAGAATAACAATTTTTTTTTATTTTTACAGTCACAATTCTGTTTACTCCTAATATTACACACAACTATATATTCATTCTCTTATGGCTAACTAAAGATAAATAGAGAAATTGGTGTGTAAAGTTAACTACTGAAAGTAAAATTAAATTGTGAAATTGTCTGTCAAACGTTTTATAAAAATGTTAAAACATAATGATCTGACATAATTCTAAAACAAAGAAAGTTATTGAAGGTAGTACCGTAATTACCATTGCTTTATCCAGTACATTAGCATATTCTTAATTGGAAAAAAATCCGTTCTAATATTTGAACTCTCTTTTATCAATTAGTGCAGACTTTTGAAAGATAAAATTTAATTTGAACTTGTGTAATTTTTGATGTCTTAAGATAATTTTTGATAAGTGTACTACATTTATAATGTCAAGTAGATATTTAATTATGCATATATACATAATGAAAATACATGTATTTAGGTCCAAAAAAGTTTAGTCTTGTTATTTTCATTTTTCTGGTGTACAGAAATATCAATATTAAGACCAATTTCAATAATTGATGGAGTACAGCTTCCTTCACACTGCTAAATTACTTAAGAATAAAAAAATAGATTTCAACTGAACATTTCAATTGCATTAAACACGGTTTGCATTCAAATAAAGTAAGATGGTGATTATATACATGGTATAAAATGGGTAATTGGCAATCATAATATTAAAGACAAAAAAAGAATGTAAGAATAGAATCTATATATTTAAGCAGACCTAGAAATAATCAAATATGCATGTGTGTCTGTTATTACACTCAATTGTATATACTAGGCATTTCTCAGAATTTAATAAACAAATGTTAAAAAAAAAATTGGGGATTGGGGGCAGCAGCTCCTAATATGCAAGCGGTTACGGGTCTGATATTGTTTATTTTCCAAGGTCCAGATAACTATAAAGTGTTCGTGAATGTAATATTTAATTAATATTTATGATAATGTCCTGAAAAGCATACATGTGATGGTTTTAGCTTGACTATTTGAAGAATAGGGAGAGCTATTGTACTCCCTCAGGCTTTTACTTTTAGTTTCTATGTGCGATTTGGTATCACCGCAACTATTAAAGGGAATGAATTGAAACATCACACTCATGTTGTAGCAAAACAGGTCTCTATCCAAGGCCCATAACTCTAACATGGATTTTTGTAGAATTATGGTCCTTGTTTAAATCTCTACATTATCCAGGCGCTCATGTTTCAAGCAATGACACTGTCCTACAGTCAGCTCTTGTTACATACATGCTGTGCTAATTTAGCTAGCACATAATGAAACTGTTTTCTTATAATTATAAATTATTCTTGATATTGTGAATTGATGAAATTTATTAACTCCAGTTGATGAAATTAATTAGCCCAGTCATTTTCATTTGAACCAACATTATTGGTGTAGCAATAATCAAATTTAGTCGATAGTAAACTTCTGTTGAGACCTTGCCTTGACTTATGTTGATCTCAACTTGATCTTCAAAAATAAGTTTTAAAAGAGAGAAAAAAATCTGAAAGCAAAAGGATGTGCAAAGCAGATTTAAAGCCATATTTCTTTTAGGTTTGGGAGATGAATAAAGAAATACCTATTCTGATGTACATGGTGGCAAAAAAAAAAAATTATTGGTATTTTTCACATCTAAAATCACAAAATACTTTACTCCTTATATTCCAACTATAGGCTAAGTAAATATATATTATAATTTGATCATTCAGCCACGAAAATTTGCATAAGAAAATAGACTTTGTTCATCATGGTTAATTGTTTTTGCCTTTCAATGAAACTTCACAGGAGTGATCAGTACCAACCAATGCTATTGTAAGCATGTACAGCTTTACAGCACAAAATTCTGACAGAGCTACCATTGAAAAATTTTGTCTGGCTTCCACAGGTCAAACTGCTTGCAGGATTTTGACGAAACTTCACATGAGTGGTCAGTAGAGACCTTACTGGTGCATGCTTGCTGTCATGTTTCTCTTCACTACACAAATAGCCACAAAGCCTTCAAATACAAACATCTTGTCCTGCTTTCATAGATCAAACTGCTGGATGAAGTTACATACCGCTGTCTAGTCCTGAGATAACATATGGGAGAGACAAAAGTTTTTATGACGAAAACCTCCTCTAGTTTTAGTCATACAGCCAGTTGCAGTTGCAGTGATGAGGGGAGGGAACAGATTCAGTCACAAAAGATATATTAAGACATAAACATTGTCCGTGTAAATGAAAAAATCTTATCTTCCCCCATCCACACCAAAGAATGAACTATTGAAGGATGGGAGAGATATGTTTTGTTAAAGGTAACTACAGAAGAAAAAGATGTCGGTATGTTATATTGCCAGCAAAGTCGTCTATAATAATGTTAGTGCATTTTGACATAATTTTAAAACAAAAATACTGAATGAAGTAACTTACTATTGATTTTTATCTAGCACACTAGGATATTCTATATTGTAGACGTGCTAGACGTGTAGATTGTTTTCCTATTCAACAACTAAACTCCCCTCTATCAGTTGATATGTAAAATTTGAAGGATTAAATTTAATATTTGGATATTTTGTGATGATCATATGAAGATAATTATTGATAAGTGTATTATATTTACACTGAAGTAGATATTAAAAATTGTACATATACATGTATACCTATTAAAACTTAAGTGCTAGCACTAAGCTGTTTACAGTCAGTTATATAGTGCATTTGTATTCATCAGAATACAAAATATATTTCAACTAAACATTGTAATGTCATTAAACTTAAAACATATTATGTATGCATTTACATGCTATTAAAAATATTGTTTATTTGTTGTTGTTGTTTTAAATTTAGATTCTGTGAATTTCTGACAAACTTGTGTATACCAGTGTTTTTAGGACTTTGATTTGTATATATTTAGACTGGAATCACTTTTCTTCATGTATGTTCCTGCGTTTCCTTCATGTCCTTTACCCTTTGTGAAGAATTCTCTCCAAACCTGGCTCAAATGTTTATCTCATCATGCCCTTACTCAAGGTCGAATGCCAAACATTTTTGTCTGTACTATAAACTGTAAAAGTGATCCATGAGGGTTTTTTTTCAAACTTAACTTAAATGTTCACCTTTAAATATAGGGATAATTAGACTGACATTAAATCCTTGTCATGTACGATAGCTCATTTGGTTAGACCACTGACTGTCACTCCTGAGGTTCCGGGTTCGATCCTGGGTATTTGGGATTTTTCACAAACACTTTCAGTGTTTCCCACCTACCTAGAGGTATACTGCTAAGAAACCATTGTAATCATTGCATGTATCAGTGCTATAAACTGGAAATGTAAAAGAACCAAAGGGTCAATTCAATAAGAGCTAGGGTCTGTTTCCCGGATTCCCATATTATTAGCTGTCTGGGGAGTGTGCTGATGTAAGGACCCTACTTGAAATAAGTGCTTGCACTTTCATAGGTTATCTTGACTATCCGGTTTAAAGAAAATCAATCAATCAATCATGCATAGAGGTGGTGGGATTGATACATCACTCATGTGACAACTCTTTCTTACATTAATAGTTTACTGTGAAAGTTTAATTGGTACCCGTCAGTATGGACATAGGCACCCTTCAATGCACAGGAAAATGAAACAAAAACATTAAACTCGTTTTCTTAAATGTTTAATAAAATTATGAAGTTAAGTCTTAAACTTACCATAGAAATAGATCTATTTTTACCTTTTTCTGGCTGAATATCTCAAACTTATCTATCCCATTTTTCAGTCTGGACAAAACAAATCATTCTTTTAGGGAAATTTTAAAAAAATAAAGACTGAAAGAATAGCAACCAGTGCAGACCATAATCAGATGACACAGCACAATTTGCCGGCTGATCTTTGTCTGCACTTGTAGCATGGGTATAATCTGTTGCCACCAACAGGCTATTAAGGCTTAAATCAAAACAGTACGGTATCTTACAGATTCATACTATATATACATGTATGTTATTAAAAAATAGAAAGTGTTTTAAACAGCAAATTTGTTATCAAATGAACAGATAAAATAATTACAGCTATCATATAAGGCACTTTATATTTCACACAGATGATTACCTGATATTATCAGTCAAAATATGCAAATCTTGCCGAAACTCTATTAGTAATGGAATAAGATTTGGTGATGAAAATAGTAAATTCAATCAAATTTTCCTTTGAAAATTGTACTGTTATACACTTTGGGTCTTATACAGAATATGAAACAAATAAAGATATTAAAGCCACAATACTTCAATTTCTTTTATAAATATGCTTTAAAATAGTTAAATGTAGCATTATATGGCAAAAAATATACAAAGTATCACACATGTTAGTATAATATATATAATAATATGCATGGTGATTGGTAAAAAAAATAAAACTCTCACTGCAATCGGGGCGTCCGTAGGCGAGTGGTTAAGGTCGTTGACTTCAAACCACTTGCCCATCATTGCTGTGGGTTCGAATCCCGACAGGGACTTTGGATTCTTTCATGTGAGGAAGCTATCCAGCTAGCTTACGGAACGTCGGTGGTTCTACTCAGGTGCCCGTTCGTGCCCTAAATAATGCATGGAAGGGCACCTGAGGTCTTTCTCCACCAGTAAAGCTGGAATGTCGCGATAAGACCTATACTGTGTCGATGTGACGTAAAATGAAACAAATGAACAAACAAACTAACTGCAATCCCAGTTTGATTTTCTCTCTCTTATATATCACACATGTTAGTATAATATATATCATAATATACATGGTGATTGGTAAAAAAATAAAACTCTAACTGCAATCCCATTTTGATTTTCTCTCTCATATTTTTTTCTTATTCTTTTTTCTTTTTATTTTTCTTTCATTAACCTTTGCACTTTATGTTAAATGATGAAATTTGAAAAGTAAAAAATAAATTTGTCCCGAAAGGTGCAGAACTGATATATTATATCTACAATTTTTTTTAAGTGTTCTGTATTTGAGTAAATTATTGTGAAATATCTGTTTGTATTCTATGCTATAATTTTTCACAATAGATATATTAATAAAACATATTATTTATTTTGTAAAAAAGACAATATGTCGGAACATCTAAAAATCAATTAAACTAAATTAAATGTTACAATAATTTCTATAATTAAATATTGAATGATGATGATCTGATGGACTTATACAATTGTTGGTGACATATCATATCTTGTAATGTATTTTACATCATTTTATACAATATGATATAATTGTCACCACTGTCCTCCATATATCTACTAACACAAATTGTACTACTTTCAGCACACCAACATACAGCTTGAGGACTATCTACATCCTCCAGTATAATTTTACTGTCTTTACAGTCACCACTTACTCTATGTATACAACGACTGTTGTAATCATTCATTAACAGTGACTCTTCTTCTAACAGTGTTATACCCTGTGGATTGTTAATTCCTACTGATCCTATCATCTCTCCCTGCCAGTTAAATCGTAGAACTGCAGGTTTGTAATAGTCAGATACATATATTGAAACCCTGTTTGTTGTAACATACCAAGGAATATTGAAAATATTGTCACCATTGGAATCTTTTTCAACTATAACTTCTGTATTACCTTTCAAATCCATGATTTGTAGTTTAGCAGGATTTGCAAATGTGACTGCAAGTTTTCCCTGATGATGACTGATACCATCACACTTTCCATTTACCTTCAGTTTGTTCTTCAGTGAGAGTGAGTCTGGGGAGAAGGAAATAAACTGTATTGTTTTACTGTCTGGTAATGTAACAGCAAGTGAATCACTGGAGACAATGGTGACATCCCATGGTGCTTGGTCAAGCTTTAATTGTTTTATTGTTCCACTATTAATGTTTATCATTTTAGTAGAGTTATTACTGCTATCTGCTGCAAATATTTGATTTTGAGGTGAAACAGCTATACCAGAAATAAAGCAATTCATTTTATCTGAGGATGATTTAGCATTGATTTTTCTAGGGGTAGACAATTTCATTGCTACTGCACCTTGATGTTTCTTATTCTTACTGCTCAATGTTCCTAATGATTTCTCATCCTGAAGGACTTTCCTGATACCTCTATTTGGTTTAAAGATGTACTCGTCAATGTAATTGATTGTTGGTAGTTGTGATAAGATATTGTTATTAACTTGAATCAGTTGCTGTGCTCCCTTAAGTTCAGTAAACAATTGGTCAGATTTCTTGTTTGAATTGAGATGTTTCAGAGTATGAGCTGATGCTTTAAGTGATTTGTTCATGTCATCACATGTTGTTTCTGTTGTTTTCACTTAGTTGTTGTTGTCTTGTTGGGTTGTTGTAGCAGTATCTTTAACCTCCTTTTCTAGTTCATCTAATCTCTTGTTTATCTCTTTTCTGAAATTGTCAATTTCTGCTATAGCATCTTCAAGAGAAGTTGTTGATTTAGCAACTCTTTGTTTCAGGTCACTAGTAATCTGGGAGCATCTGTTTGTGAATTTATCAATATCTTTCAGAGTTTTTTTGAACTCGGTGCTGTCTAAAGTCTGTCCTGATATATCAGGTATGTAGTCAACATGACAGGATGTTGGTGTGTGTTTAAGGGTTACACAAACACTACATATAAGGGCATTATGGTAATGGCAATAGAATTTAATCGCTTCCTTGCTGTGTTTAGTACAAGGCTTTGTAAAATCACCAGTCTGTGGACTGGAAGTAGATTGTGATGATCCATGGAGATTTTGTTGTTGTGGCATGTGATCCTTATCTAAAAGTTGGTGATGGCGTAGTGGTTTTGGTCTTCTGTGAGTGTTGAAACAAGATTGACATAAGTGTTCCTCACAATCTACACAGTAACCAAAGGCAGGAAGCCTGATATCAGCTCTGTCACATATTTCACAATAAATATCAAAATCTTCAGCACCACCTTGAGATAGTGTTGATGAGAATTTCTGAGATGCCGTTTTACTTGGAACAGCCATTATCCACCTGGAATACACAAATAGCATACAGTTATTTATGACCAGCAGTGAATTTGCCAGAAGAAATTTGACATTGGGTGATATTGGCCAATAAAATATGTTACCACCTGATCTAAGCTTTCATGTTAACTTCAAGTAATGTATTGAAAGCATGATTTCAGAGTAATTTATCTGTTAGGGGAATTGCTTTCACATTAATTTTTGCAAGATCTTTTATGCTTACCTCTACCCCATCTAGAACAAGTTACATTGAAAATCGGGAAAAATGCGGGTGGGGTGCAGGAAATTATTGTCAATGTTATTGTAGGTCAATGTTATAATGTTCATAAAATAAGATATTGTAAAGTTGAGTTTTATTTACTTTTTAAAACATTGATGTTAAATAAGATTATAAACTCACCATTTATCCTGCTAATGCTGTGATATTTTAAATACTCAAAGTTTAGTATTTTTAATATTTCTAGGTTAAGGTTGCCTTCGAAGGTCGAATGTCAAACAATTTTGTGTGTGTACATTAAACTCTATTATCCTCAAACTTAACTTAAATGTTCACCTTAAAATAAAGGGATAAGTGGACTGACATTAAATCCTGTGCCATGCATATAGGCGGTGGGGTATTGATTCACTCATGAGACAGCTTAAGTTACTATGAAAGTAAATGCTACTTTTTCAGATTTGTTCACAATACAAAACATTTATGTATATAAATGTATATACAATATATTGAGATATACATCCAAAGAGGAACCAGAGATTTCTTTTAAGACTCTACAAAGTTTAAAAAGATAATGTAGATAATAATTTTAAAATATCTTACCAAAGTTTTAAAAATTATAAATGCAAGACCTATCTTTAAAATAACATTAGAAAAAGATTCGTTTTTAGAACTTATTACTTTACAATATTATTGAACTTCTTTAACATAAGGGATATGTTCCAATATAACTTTGATTCTTTTATTGTAAAAATGTCATAAATTCAAGGGAAATAACTCCTACATTGATATCCAATTAAGAGTTGTACCTCTTGTCATGAATACTTAATGCATTAATATCATAAGAATACAATAATAATAAAACCAAAGGGCATTTAAGGTTTTCAAGAGAAAAAGATACAAAAAGGGCAGTGGGTACAGTACAGAGTGGACCAAGCCTTAATAAATGATGAGTAAATGATAGTTGTCAGTATGGACACATGCACCATTCATTGCACAGGAAAATAAAAACTCGTTTGCTTAAATGTTTAATAAAATATTTCTATATACAACAAAACCATACTTCAGTCTAAAACTTGCCAAAGTTATTGTTCAATTAATCTTTATCACACTAAATATCTCCATCTTTCAGTCTGGACAAAACAAATCATCATTTTAGGGGAATTTCAAAATAAATACTGACTGCATAGTGCAGACCATGATCAGATGGTACTGTTAGCTTAACTGACTGGCTGATATTGGTGTTCACCGGTAGCATGGATATAAGTAGCCACGCAAGCTGGCTAATTTTAACAATACAGGATCTTACAGATTCATACTATATACATGTATGTTATGATAAAATAGAAAGTCTTTTAAACAGCAAAATTGTAGTCAAAGCAACGGATAAAATTATAAGAGCTATCATTAGGCACTTAAATTCCACACAGATGATTACCTGATATTATCAGTCAAAACATACATTTTTTAAGCTCTGTTTTTAATGGGATAAGGTTTGGTGAAAATAGGAAATTCAGTCAAATTGTTTTTATAACATATTGTACTGCTTTACTGTATTGGATATTACAGATTCAAGCTATATACATGTATGTTATGAAACAAATAAAGAGATTAAAGTCACAATACCTATATTCATTTAGAAATATGCTTTAAAATAGTTAAAATCTATCATTATATATGGCATAAAATGTACAAAGGTCACATATGTGTTAGTATAATATATGTATATAAAGATACATTTATAAGACAAGCAGAGGAAAAACAACATAACTCTTGCTACATTTTCTTTGTATACACATTCACAATATTAATATTACAGTTTCTTTATTTTTGTTAACATTGTACTTCTGTGTATGAAAACATCAATTAAAAATAAAATCATCTTCACATAACATTTTAAAAATTGATCAATGAAGCATATGTCACCTTTACATTTTCTGTTAAATGACGAACATTGAAAAATAAAAATTATTTTGTATGGGTTGTTGCAGAACTGATACATTATCTCTACATTTTAAATGTTTTTTATTTTGAGCACTTTATTGTCAATTATTATGCATTCTGCATTATGAATAACTGTATTCTGCTATTTTTTTTACAATTTAACAATAGATGTATTATTAAAACACCTTATTAATTTTGTAGAAATAAGATACAACTATCAATCCATAGATCAACAAAACTCAAGTAATATGTGATATCTGATAATATTGTTACAATATCTTTAGTAAAATACTGAATGAATGATGATGATCTTATGCACTTTTTAGTGTCATATTATGTCTTGTCATGTCTTTTACATCTTTTCATACAATTTGATATAATTGTCATCACCGTCTTCATTCAATGTACTAACACAAAGTGCACAACTTTTAGCACACCAACATGCAGCAAAAGGTCTACCTACATCCTCCAGTATAGTTCTACTATCTTGACAGTTTCCACTTACTCTATGTATACTTTGACTGTCTCTACCATTCACTAAGAGAGACCCATTATCTAACAGTGTTATACCCCTTGGTCCTTTAATTCCTACTAATCCTATCATCTCTCCTTTCCAGTTAAATCGTAGAACTACATCATTGTCGGAGTCAGATACATATATTGAATGACTGTTTGTTGTGACATACTGAGGATAGCTGAATATATTGTCACCATTGGAATCTTTTTCAACTGTAATTTCAGTATTACCTTTCAAGTCCATGATTTGAAGTTTAGCAGGTTTTGTAAATGTTACTGCAAGTTTTCGCCGATGATGACTTATACCATAACAACGTCCATCTACCTTCAGTTTGTTCTTCAGTGAGAGTGAGTATGGGGAGAAAGAAGTTAACTGAATTGTTTTACTATCCGGTATTGTAACAGCAAGTGAATCACTGGATACAAAGGTGATATCCCAGGGTGCTGAGTCAAGCTTTAATTTTTTTTTTGTTCCACTATTAATGTGTATCATTTTAATAGAGTCATTATAGTAATCAGCTGCAAATATTTGATTTTGAGGAGAAACAGCTATACCTGTTATCCAGCAATCATTTTCATATGAGGATGATTTAGCATTGATTTTTAAATGAGTAGACATTTTCATTGCTACTGCACCTTGATTATTTGGTTCTGCTGGCTGCTTTAGTTTTTTGCTGCTCAATGTTCCTAATGATTTCTCATCCTGAAGGACTTTCTTGATAGCTTGATTTGGTTCAAAGATATACTCATCAATATCATTGATTGTTGGTAGTTGTGATAATATATTGTTATTATCTTGAATCAGTTGCTGAGCTCTCTTAAGTTCAGTAAGCAGTTGGTCAGTTTGTTTGTTTGAATTGAGATATTTCAGAGTATCAGCTGATGCTTGAAGTGATTTGTTGATGTCATCACATGTTGTTTCTGTTGTTTTCAACTTTTTGTTGTTGTCTAGTTGGACTGTTGTAGCAGTATCTTTAACCTCCTTTTCTAGTTTATCAAATCCCTTGTGTATCTCCTTTTTAAAGTTTTCATTTTCTGCTATAGCATTTTTAAGAGAAGTTGTTGATGTTGCAACTCTTTGTTTCATGCCACTTTTAATCAAGGAGCATTTGTTTATCAATTCATCAATATCTTTCAGAGTTTCCTTGAACTCTGTGCTGTATAAATTCTGTGCTGATATATCTGGTATGTAATCCACATTACAGGATGTTGGTGTGTGTTCAAGGGTCACACAAACACTACATATAAGAGCATTATGGTCATGACAGTAGAATTTAATCACTTCTTTGGTGTGTTTAGTACAAGGCTTTGTTAAATCACAAGTCTGTGGACTGGAAGTAGATTTTGATAATCCATGGAGTTTTCGTTGTTGTGGCATGTGATCTTCATCTAAGAGTTGGTGATGACGTAGTGGTCTTGGTCGCCTATGAGTGTTGAAACAAGATTGGCATAAGTGTTCCTCACAATCTACACAGTAACCAAAAGCAGGAAGCCTTATATCAGCCATGTCACATATTTCACAATAAATGTCAAAATCTTCAGCACCACCTTGAGATAGTGTAGATGAGAATTTCTGAGATGCCTTTTTACCAGGAACAGCCATTATTAACCTGAAATACACAAAGAT